AAGACTAACTGGCCTATAGTTTCCCGGGTCCTCCTTCCTCCCTTTTTTGAAGGTTGGAACCACACTGGCCCTCTTCCAGTCCTCCGGCACCTCTCCAGTGCACCACGAGTGCTCGTAAAGCCATGCCAGGGGACCTGCAATGACCTCGGCCAGTTCCTTTAGAACTCTACGGTGGAGATCATCCGGACCGGCTGACTTGAATATGTCCAGCCCCTCCAGAAGCTCCCTTACTAAGTCCTTGCTAACCCTTGGCCTAGGCGTGCCTCCCCTGGGGCCTGAAGGGGCCCGGCTGGGAGGTTGCTGCTCTGGTCCCTACTTAGGAAGATGGAGGCAAAGAAATCGTTAAACGTTTCCTTCCCTCTCTTCTCTATGCAAACCTGGCACCCTGAAGCCTCAGAAGGGAAAGAACATGCAACCCCCATCAATCAGCTCAATAAGAGAAAAGCACAGCTACAGTGATTTGCATAAGCTTTTTACCCAGAATTCCCTCAAGGTTGCTCTGAGAGCCACTATAAAAAGACAGTGGACACGTCTCCATGAGACACTTAATGCACAGTAGCCTCTGTGCAGTACTGTGTTATAGCCCGGACAGTGCCAATATGCTATTGATCAGTATTATTAGGCTACTGCACAGTAGCGTCACTAAAAAAGTGTTTGCCAGTGCTACTGCACAGTAACTCTAGTTACTGTGCATTTATTTAGCACTTCATTAAGCAAGTACTAAATTAAATGTGCAGTAACTATTGCGCATTAATGAATGTGTGGACACACCCAGTAAGTCACATTCACATGGATAGAAGAACTGCAACTGAAAAATGGAAGTGTTTCTTGTTCTATTGTGTGTGCTACCAGATGTACAGTGGGGCCGATAAGCTACTGTTTTTTTGATTCCTGAGGGCCTGCAGTTGTGAGACAATTTTGCCACAGCATAAGGCAAATGAAGAACTTCAGAGGACTGAGGCACTAGATTCAGCTACCCAGGGTGCAGCACAGGAAGGATTCTTTGCAGAAACTACAGAAGCTGGTGGTAGAGCTCAAATAAATCAGGTAAGTCCCTACTTATGACCACAAAAGCTAGAATCACCATAGATGGGACTTTTGTGTTTGAGAGGTTCAACTTTCCAGACTCTTCAGCCTTCATGCAGTATAGAGCTTAGTGGCATTCAGAGCCTGTCGACTAACAAAAATGTGACATTTCAACATTTAAGTCATCCCAAGGGTTTAATTTATATTTATCAATATGGTCTGAAGTACTTCATTTTGAATCACTTCTGCCTTAAACTGCATTTTCCCATGGTGGTGAATTGTCTTGCAAGAACCGTGATTTGCAAACATGTTGAACCGAACTCTGTGCAAAGGGGAATTAATGTGCTGTCTTTGGGAGATGTTCTCTTCCATTGGAGAGGAGCACAGACTAACTACAGCTCTATTGAGGTACCATGAGATGACAGACAAAGGCGGTGTGTAGTTTTTTTTAATTTGTTTCAAATTGAAACTTTGGGGTTCAGTTCAAAACAGCAAAATATTTTTGGTCAGGTCATACTGACCTGAAATGAAATATCTCATTTAGACTTCTGTGAGAGATAATCACAAGTCCTACAGAAGACCTCAAACTTTCCAAAGTGGGATTTTCCATTGGAAAAGCGTTCTGATGGGAATGCCCAATTGGCTCAAGTAGCCTGTGTATTGATGGGTGAACATGTAGTCTTGCCTCTTGACATACTCCTTTCTTTCTATCTGTCCATTTTTCTCACCTTCCCCTGCCCCTGAAGGCTGCGGGTTAGGAGGGGAGAGTGACTTTACCTTTACTACTAAAAGTAGATTTGCTTATGTTATTTTCTCTTTTTTGCTTCCCTTTGGGTTTCCT